CTGGGGGCCTCTTGGGACACTCTTGGGGCTCTCTGGGGCACTTCGGGGTCATCGCGGGTCGTCGTGACCTACCCGGGGGGTCTGTTGGTGCCGTCTGGTGTCGCGTCCACCTCCAGTGACGTTTGAATTGTGCGCCTTCCCGCTCCAAGAAAACATCGTGGACGCAAAAAGACAAAGGTTCCCTGACAAATTTCCCTGGGGGGGTCCGATGGTCCCAAGGCGCGAGACATCTGTCGATTCACGAAATTTGATTACGTAGGAGGCCCTGGGGTCCCAAGGCAGGTCCTTGTTTGGTTGCCGGGCGGTCCCACGCCATTTGAGATCACATGTCTCACATATCCCACAGGTCCCACATGTTTCGCAGGTCCTGCAGGTCTGACAGGTCCCAAAGGTCCCACAGGTAAAGCGAGGTACGAGCGATGACGTTGTGTGTTGGGGGTATTTCCTTAGGATTTCTAAATGTTTTGCGGATTTCTCTTTTTTTCCGTCCCATAAGAGCCCAAGACCGCCCACGACGGCCCAAGAGGCCCCCAAGAGGCCCCCAAGAGGCGCCCAAGGGGCGCCCCTAGAGGGCCCCAAGACGGCAACATCATCGATTTTCCATTGGAAAAACGTAGAGTTTTAGCATATACGGCTTTTCGCCGTTCACGGCGTTGACGACAGCCCAAGAGGCCCCCAAGTTGCCCCAAGACGGCCCAAGAGGCTCCCAAGAGGCCCCCCAAACTGCCCAAGAGGGCCCCCAGACTGCAATTCCGAGGTTGAGCAAGCCTGAGCATGAGTGAGTGAGTCCAGCAGGGTGGCAGATGTTTCATATTTGTTTCCATATTCCATATTGCTGCTTGGTTTCAGTTTGTGGTTAATTGTGTAGTTTGACATGTGTATTTTGCCTGCTACCGTCCCGGCTCTAGCGCCCCCTCGCTTGTGCTCAGAGGCACGGGAGTTTAGACGCCCTGTGAGCAGGGCCCGAACTTGAGGAGTTCAGACAAAAGATCAGAGATCAATACCGCTGCGCAATTTCCGCCGACGACTCGCATGGTAGCAGGAGCACGTGGTTGACACGGAGAGGAACTACGATGACCGAGGATCATCGAGGCAAGGTGCCAAGCTGGGATGGGGATCCCAAGACTTGGCGGACATACAGGCGGAAGGCCCTCCAGTACCAGGAGGGCACCAAGAGGGAGGACCGGTACCTGTGCGGCCCGCGGCTGGAGGCGAAGCTCACGGGCCGGGCCGAGATCGCGGTCGAGCGCTGCAAGGCTGGGTGGCTCTCCAGACCAGATGGCGTGGAGAGGCTCCTGGCGTGGCTGGAGCGCAGATGCTCTCGACAAGCCGTGCCAGACGTAGGCCAGGAGCTCGAGACGTTCTTGATCAAGACGAAGCGCCGCAAGCTCGAGCCAATGCAGCAGTGGACGGACCGCTTCGAGACAGGGTACCAGTACCTCAGACGCGCGCTGGCACGCGCGCTGGGACACACAGTCCCGGTCCAGGTCGCTCCAGCGTGGAAGTGGACAGGGCGACCATACCGCTGGGTCGAGGTCGAACGTGGCTGGCCATTCGAGGGTAGCGAATGGACATGGGAGTACACGGACGGCCTGCCAGACGATGAGAAAGAGGACTCACACCTCTGGAGCGCTGCTGACCAGGATGCGGACGCCGAGGAGGAGCTCGGGGACATGCCAGAAGTGTTCCCGAGCCTGGTCCTGGGCTGGTTGATGCTCGTGCGGTCAGGCCTTGACTCGCGCGAGCGGGCGGCCATCATGACGGCAACCGGCGGCTCGCTGGAGGTCAACACCATCCGGGAGAAGCTGATCTCGAGCTGGGAGGACGATGACCTGGCGGAGCGTGATGGGCACTCACGGTTCCCGAAGGCGCACACGGCCCAGCTCGGAGAAGATGATCGCACATGGCTTGACGGAGAGGAGGCACCAGATGCGAGCAGCTTCGCGGCCGACATGGAGAACAGCGAGAAGCAGGAGGAAGAACCAGGCCCAGAGGAGGTGAACGATGATGACATCGAGAGCTACTTGGCGGCTCAGCAGGAGGAGGCGGGGGCGCTCGCGGCGATCCACACTGCCCAGCGTGCCCTCCGCCAGGCTCGAGAAGCTCAGGCAGACAGCAGGCTGAGCAGGGGCTTCTACAGGGGAGGTCGGCCAGCGCCGAAGGGGTCAGGCAAGGGGTTCCCAGCGGGATCACGCCGACCACTTCCTCCCCAGGTAGGAGGCAAAGGCAAGATCTTGCCACCAAACAAGGGGCAGAAGAAGTGCGCGAAGTGTGGGGGACCCCACTGGGCTCAGGACTGCCCGGACCGTCATGACCCGCGTCTACGGCCGGGAGCTGCAGGCGCGCCAGACGCGAGCGCGAAGGTGGCAGAGTGCAGGAAGGAGCTGAAGTTCAACCTCGTGGCCTCGCTGGTCGCCGAGCAGGAGCCCCGGGAGTCGGAGTGCGAGGCGATGTTTGCGGACCAGGCCATCCTCGAGGGCAAGGGCATCGTCGACTTAGGGTGCACGGACGCCATGGGTGGTGAGCGCGCCCTGGACATCGTGGCCCGCGAGAACTTGGAGAAGTATGGCGACGCCAGGCTGCTGGACGTGAACCTAGACTACAGGCCAGTCTACAGCTTCGGGAATGGCGAGAAGGAGCGCGCCTACGGACAGGTGAAGTCCGGCATCGCGAGCGCGGGCGTGGAAGGCGACATCGCCATCAACGGTTTCTCGAAGGATGCCCCGATCCTGGTGTCCAAGAAGGTGCTGAAGAAGCTCGGGGCCGTCGTGGACTGCGAGACTGGGGTGGCCGTGTTCGTGAAGCTCGCACCGGACATCCCCGTGCAGCTGGAGGAGTCATCTGACGGAGGCCACTACTACCTGAGCCTGGTCGACGACTTGCTGGAGGAGCGCGTCAAGGACCATAGCCAGCTGCGGAACTTCAAGACCATCTGCGAGAGCATGCGTGAGTGGGACCGCCAGCCCGTGGCCGCAGTGTGCCAGGGGCCGGACAGCAGCTCGGATGACCGGGCTGAGCAGTTGGAGCGCTACATGTATCCATCTCAATCCGATCGCAGCATTGTCACCGATGCGTCTCCAGTTGCTTCAGCAGGTGCGTGCCGAGGCCAATCGTGTGGCCAAGCCCGCAGCATTCATCACAACAGTTGGCCACAGCCTCGGAAGGGTCCCGCAGTTGAAGGCAGCGACCGCCCCAGTGTCCAGTCTCAGTTCCAGTTGAACCGGGCGTCCCAGGTGAACCAGGGGGCCCCGCTGCAGATCCATAGCCGTTCGGGCTCGAGCCAGGCAAGTTCACTCGAGTCGACGGCGACCGACGGCATCCAGCCACCCGCAGCTCCAGATCCACCAGATCTTCCATATTCAATATTCCTGGCCGAAGGCCGTCGATGTCAGCAAAGAGATGCGCTGGGGTAACATCGTCCGCGGAGCGGTCCAGCTCACCTGCGCCAGGATCGCATGCTCGTGCGGCGCGACCACTCCAGATGCCAACGTCTCGCAGTGCAGTACAGGGCCTCTACAAAGCGGAGGTGCTTCACTTACTTCAGGAGCTCGGCCTACCGCGCAGTCCGGCCTGGGGCGCGGACGAGCTGAAGCAGGTCCTCAAGGAGCACATGTTTCCGAAGGACGAGACGCCAGTGCAGATGGCCATGAAGGGTCTCAGCTCGATGAAGAAGTCCCAGCTCTTGGCGAAGGCAGAGGAGGTAGACGCCCACGTGACACAGGGCATGACGAATCCGTCACTCAAGCTCTCGATCCGCAAGGCCATCCTCATGGAGCCGACCGACTACATGGGCTTCGGGAAGCACGGAGCCATGACCTACCAGCAGGTTCGGAGCCAGTACCCATCTCACGCAGCCTGGTGCCAGAAAGATGCGAACCAGGAGAGCAGCTGGGAGCTGGCCCGGTTTGCCTCATGGCTCAACGAGCAGGAGATCATCGACAAGAAGGCCGGGGTGACCAGGGATCCGAAGGAGGTCCCGAGAGAGCCGGACAGGGCTCGAGGGGGCGCGAGGTCATCCCGCAGGAGAACGGTCGACGCGATCATGGAGGACGAGATCGAGGAGCAGGAGAAGCTCGAGGCTGCGATCAAGGTGCAGAAGGAGGAGAAGGAGTCCAACCGCTTGGTCCAGGAGCAGATGCTGACGGCACTGAACCAGCTCAACCAGAGGCTCGGCCAGCTGGGGGGCCAGGCGAGCTCAGCCAGTTCCAACGCCGGGAGCTTCATACAAGCGGGTTCCAGTCCGAGTGGTCTGGCAGAGGTTTGAACTGCACGAAGGAGCTGGACCCCAGGAAGCAGCGCTGGCTTGCCAAGTGCATCCAGGAGAGCGGCCACGTTGAGGACTACGAGGCGCTGATGGCCCACGGCAGTGCCCAGTTGATGGAGGTCGCGCGCAGCCCGACATCCATCCTGAGCACTAAGATGGCGGAGAAGTTCGGCGAGGACGCTGTATGCCGCATCAGTGCGTGGAACGGTTTCAAGCTGGGGACACCTGGCGGCAACCAGAGGGCTCGGGAGGCACGTGATGAGGCTGAACCAGACCACCTGTGGATCAGCACGAGGTGCGGCCCCCTGTCTACCCTCGCCCTCGGCTTCAACGGCTCCAACCCTATCAGGGCCGAGGCCACCAGGAAGCGCAGGTTGCAGGCCATCAAGGAGTACAAGGGCGCGGTGCAGTTGGTGTATGACCAGGTGGCTCAAGGCAAGCATGTACACTGGGAGTGGCCCATCAAGTGCGAGGGCTTGGGCCACACGATGATCAGGAAGATGGTGGAGGACTGCTCCATGACGGTGGCCAAGGTGGCAGGCTGCCAGCTCGGCGTGAAGGACGGGGCCTGCCGCTGTTGAAGGAGTGGCTTATCGCTGCGACGCCTCCAAAGATGGCAGCCCGGATGTCCCTGGAATGCCCAGGAGATCACCGACATGGGGAGCTCACAGGAGGCAGTCTGACAGCGGCCACCAGCTATTACCCGGACGAGTTTGCCAGACGAGCTGTGCGCGCGATGACCGAGGAGGCCGCGCCCGACTACCGCGAGTTCATGAGGCGCGTGGTGGAGCCCGGGGAGGCGGCCGACCAGGCGATGGCAGCCAACCAAGAGGAGACAAAGATGAACTCGGACGTGAGCTCGAAGGAGTACCAGGAGATCATGAGGTGGCTCACCTCAATCCACCGTGGCTCAGGTCACAGCTCGAAGGCCTCCATGCTGAACGCACTTCGGAGGAAGGGCGCCAGCCCACAGGTGCTACAGGTGGCTGAGGACTTCCACTGTGACGCTTGCGAAGAGGCGCACAAGTTCAAGCCCACACATCCGCCGGTCAGCTTAGAAGCCATCCCGCCGAAGTGGAAGCACATCCAGGCGGGCCAGTTTGAATGGGAGCACCCGCAGACGAAGGTTAAGTCCAAGATCTCCCTGATCATAGACGAGAACTGCCGGGTGCGCGTCAGCAAGCTACTGTACCACATGGTTGGCGAGGACCGGCACAGGAATCCCGTGTGGGCCGACCTCAAGCAGTTCTATGAGGAGCGCTGGATGCCCTACTTCGGCAAGCCACAGAGGGTGAAGGTGGACCCCGAGGGCTCCTGGATGTCCAAGCAGGCGGCTGAGTACTTTGATTCCGACTCCATCGCGTACGAACCCATACCTGGCCAAGCCCATTGGCACATCTCCCTCGCCGAGGAGGCCATCCAGGCCACCAAGGGGACCATGGACAAGTTGGTGACGGAGAACCCCGAGATGACGACGGAGGAAGCCCTGGCCAGAGCGACCGCAGCTGGGAACTCACGAGAAGATGTCCGAGGACACTCACCCCTTCAACATGCCCTCGGGCGAGCACCAGACCTGGACGGACACTTCTTTGAGAGCGACTTCGACGAACTGCCCTACGTGGAGGCCCAGAGGGTCGACAAGGAGTTCGGGGAGAACTACACCAGGATGTATGCTGCCGAGCAGGAGTACCTGAGGCAAGTCTACATGCGACGCATCAGCAGGGCAGAGAACGCGAAGAATCAGGCGGTGAAGTCCGTGGTGCCAGGCATGTGGGTGCGCTACTTCCGGAAGGAGAAGGGTGAAGCCAATGGCCGATTCAAAGGGCTCGCGAGGGTCCTGGCCACAGAGACGGCGCGGCCGGTGGACGGGGACCTTGGCGAAGGACGGGCCTTGCACCCTGGGCGTGCAGGATCTGTGGTGTGGCTTGTACGAGCCGGGCGTATCATCAAGGTGGACCTCTGCCGGATCCGGGCAGCCTCCATACGGGGGATCGCCTACGCAGAGCTGATGGGAGGCAAAGACACGCCCTGGACAGTCCACACCTTCATGAACCAGACGATGAAGCACGAATACCTAGACTTCACGGGCCACGACCCCACCGAGGACGACATGGAGGTCTCGACCTGGGAGGGACTACCTGAACCAGCCCCTCCACTGAAGAAAGCCCGCACAGGACAAGCCACAGAAGGAAGCCAGGCCTCAAGGGGCAGTTCAACACCACCAGCGCGGAAGCAAATACTCAAGAAAGGATATCATCCAGGAGGAACAGCCGACCAAGTCCGAGCGTCTCGAGCAGCCCTGGCGGAGGAGCAGATGAAGGAGAACATGGCCCTCATGGCGAAGTCCACTCCAGACGCCCGGGCCTTTTGGGCTCGTCAGGGCACGTCACTGGAGGTCTCCGTTGAGGTTCCCCTGGGAGGGAAGCCGCTCAAGCAGGCCACGCGGCGCACGAGTACCTACATGGCGGGCCAGCTGCGAAAGGGCAAGCGCGAGATCTCGGAAAGAACGTTGACCCCGGACGAGGTGGCGAAGTTCGGCCAGGCGAAGGCCACGGAGGTGAACAACTACATTGTGTCTTCGGTGCTGGAGACGCTCCCACCAGGCGTGACTCCGCCTCCCGAGGACGTCATGCGCATGAGGTGGATCCTCGAGTGGAAGGTGGACGAGAACACGGGCACGAAGAAGCCGAAGGCAAGGATTGTGGTCCTGGGTTATGGACCCCGAGTACGAGCACCGTCCGACCACCGCCCCAACCATGACGAGAACTTCGAGGCACCTGGTGCAGCAGACGATGGCGTGGTTGGGCTTCGAAGGCTACAAAGCGGACGTGACGGGGGCTTTCACGCAGAACAGAGAGATCCAGCATGACCCGTTCGTGATGCCTGTGAAGGAGCTCGCGGCGGCGCTGGGGATGCCCGAGGGCGTTGCGATGCGGCTCAGGAAGGCGGTCTACGGGCTCGTGGAAGCAGCGATCGAGCGGTTCATGACCGTGAGCGAGGCACTGGAGGAGTTCGGCTGGACCCAGATGAAGATAGACCCCTGCGTGTAGGTGCTCTACGGTGACGGCCACGGCAGGGATAACGGCTTCACCAAGGAGGCGCTGAAGGACTTAACGAACCCAGAGGTGATCGGGGACCTGATCGCGGCGAAGGGGGACATGGACATCATAGCCATTGCGGGGTCGCACGTGGGCGACTTCCTGCTCGGTGGCAACGACACGGACCCCCGGTGGATCACCGCCCGGGAACAGATTGAGAAGCGCTTCAAGTGGAAAGCCTGGGAGTCAGAGGAGTTCATGCAGACGGGGGTGCGGATCAAGCAGCAGCCCGACAGGAGCTTCCGCATGGACCAGAGCGAGTATGTGAAGACCATCGAGAAGGCGCACCTCACCCCGGAGCGCAAGAAGGCCAAGGACATGCCGACCACCGACAAGGAGAAGGGCCAGCTGAGGGCTATCTTAGGGGCCATCGGGTGGAGATCCGAGCAGTCAGGCCCCATGCACTCGGCCGACACGAGCCTTCTGCTCAGCACCATGCCATCGTCCACCGTGCAGACCATCAACGAGACCAACCGCCTGGTCGATCGTGTCCGTGAGTGTGCTGATCTACCCGCAGTGATACACAGCCACTCTCAGGCACAGGTGCTGGTGCCAGTGGAGTGGTCCGACTCCTCCGAGGCCAACCGTCCCGACGGAAAGTCCACGAAGGGCCCGGTGGCGGGGCTGGCACCTTTGAGGGTCCTCAGGGGAGACGAGGCGGACGTGATCCTCATATCCTGGAACTCCGGGAAGATTGATCGTGGTTGCCGCAGTTCCGTGGCATGTGAGACACGCTCCGCCGTGGATGCTGAGGGCGAGCTGTTTGGCATCAAGTTGCAGTGGCTAGAGATCCTAGGCAACAACATCGACTGGAGGAAGCCCGAGGGGATTCTACGCAGACTGCCAGGAGCAGTGGTTGTGGATTCAAAGGGCCTGCACGACAAGCTGCAGACGACGGTCTACACCTTCCGGGGCAAGGAGAAGCGGACCGACGTGGAGGCCATGACCCTGAAGGAGGGGACGCAGGCGGCGAACAACTGGATGCTCTGGGTACATGGGGATGCCCAACTCGCTGACGAAGGGGCACGAGCCAGGCCAGCTGCGGATGTATTTCAACAACGGGCATCGCTGGAAGCTGGTCTACGACGAGAAGTACCAGAGTGCACGGATGAGGAAGGCCGCTGGAATCCAGCCGTTCGAGCACGTGGGAGCGGGCGTCCTCAAAACGCCAGGCGGGACAATGGCCCACATCAGCGCAGCTGCGTGCCCAGACTTCCCGCCATATGAGGCCATGACCGAGTGCAGATCAGACGAGGAGGCGGACTCAAGGATGCTCAGCTTGGAGGACCCTTATCCGTGCAATTCCGAGGTTGAGCAAGCCTGAGCATGAGTGAGTGAGTCCAGCAGGGTGGCAGATGTTTCATATTTGTTTCCATATTCCATATGGTTGCTTGGTTTCAGTTTGTGGTTAATTGTGTAGTTTGGCATGTGTAGTTTGCTTGCTACCGTCTCGGCTCTAGCGCCCCCTCGCTTGTGCTCAGAGGCACGGGAGTTTAGACGCCCTGTGAGCAGGGCCCGAACTTGAGGAGTTCAGACAAAATATCAGAAATCAACACCGCTGCGCAATTTCCGCCGACGACTCGCACAGACGGCCCAAGAGGCGCCCAAGACGGCCCAAGAGGGCCCCAGGACGGCCCTCCGTAGCCATTTTGGCTCAAGCCATTGTGGCTGAAGCCATTTGGGCTCAGTGGCGCCTTGCCCGCACCCGCTTCTTCGTGGAGGCATCTCCTGCTTAGGGGCACCAGCGAGAGACCTCAGCCCTTGATTTCCCAGCGAGATGGGCTGCTCTCATCATTGTGCCGAATTTATCTCTGATCTTTGTATCGAATTTTGCAAACAAATCCCAATTGTGGGGCTTGCTTTCGCCGTCTCGCCTCCATCTTTCGATGATCTCGAGAAAATGTTGCAGATGTATGCTCTGCTGTCAGGCTTGCTACTGTCGATGGTTGGGGCTTGCATCTTCGAGGACTTCGACAAGTTCAACAAGGCTACGGAGATTTATGGCGCCCTTTTTGGATCGTTAGAGCTGCTATTCCTGCTGATAGTCATCATCGTCTGCCTTTACTTATACTTAATGATGTTCGTTACGGAGGAAAAGGCAAAAACACATCTCGCCAAAGAGCAGGTTCGCAAGTGGTGGGCGAGCGGTGGGAGGTTGATCTTCGTTGGACTGCCGATTCTGACGCTGTACTCTTCCTGGCTGTTGCTAATGGCTGTCACGATGTATTTCGAGTGCAACTTCGATGATTTAGGTGACGGCCCGTTCGACTATGGTTGCATGAAGCATTGGTTGACGCTGCCCATTGTTGCATTCCTGGCGTTCACGATCATACACAAGAGTTTCCACATAGCGGGATGGGTTGAGAACGAGAACGGGCCCATGCCCGTATCAGAGTCCATGTCAGAGGACAGCTGCTCAGAGGACTCCAGCTGAAATGCAGCAAACCATTTTCCAACCTGGAACAATATAATGCAGCATGTTTCAACCAGCCAGCGCCTTGGTTATTTTTTTGGCAACCTCAAAGGTGCCATAACCTTGTTTGAATTGCAGACGGTTGACGTTTTCACATTTTTCGAACCGGGCCATGTGCGTGCTGTGCTCTGCATCGCAGCTGTAGCGGCAGTGGCGGCTTTGTGTGGTTGGAACCATCGGCCCTGCCTTTGACCCATCAGCGTTGCGTTCTGCACGCAGATGTCGGACTTTCTCCAGTGATTCGTCGCCCAGTCGAACTGAAAAAAAAGAGGGCCCCAGGACGGCCCCGAGGAGGGGACCACGAACCGCAAAGTCTAGCCTATCGTCTCAAGACGTTCCCGGGAGGTCCCCACAGCCCCCCAAGAAGCCCCAAGAGGCCCCCAAGAGGCGCCCCACGAGGCCAACAGGAGGCCAAAATCATAGATTTTATATAATGGAAAACGTTCATTTCGAGCATACATGGCTTTTCGGCTTTTACGGCGTTGACAACGACCCAAGAGGCCCCGAAGACCGCCCCAAGACGGCCCAAGAGGCCCCCAAAACGGCCCAAGAGGGCCCCCAGACGGCCCAAGAGGCGCCCAAGACGGCCCAAGAGAGCCCCAAGACGGCCCCAAGATGGGGGACCACGAACCCGACAGTCTAGCCTTTCGCCCAAAGACGCTCCCGGGAGGCCCCCACAGACCCCCAAGAAGCCTCAAGAGGCCCCCGAGAGGCCCCGAAGAGGCCACCAGAAGGACCCGAAAAGGGCCCCATTTGGACTTCCACGAAGGCCCAGAGACGCCAAGAGCGATCGGTAATGCAAAAGGCTTTTCACACCAAGGCTCCCAAGAGCGAACGGTGACGTAAACAAGCTGATAAGACCCAGGCTCCCAGCAGAGAGCGGTGACGTAACAAGCTTCTGATACCAACGCCCAGCCAAGGCTCAGAACGGGCGGCAACGCAACAATCTCTGAACCCCAAGGCTCCCAAGAGCGAGGGGTGACGTAACCAGCTCTCAACGCCAAGGCTCCCGGTACGAACGGTGGTGTGAGTCATTTCGGTTTCTGTTGCTGCAGCGCTCTTTCCGTTTTCTGTGCCGGGCCAGGTCCCACAGGCCCGCAGGTTTTGCATGTCCCACGAGTCCCACAAGTCCCACGGGTCCCTCAGGTCCTCCATGTCCTACAGCTGTCGCAAGTCGCAAGTCCTACAGTTCCTGCAAACCCCGCAGGTCCCGAAGGTCCCACAGGTCCTGCAGGTCCCACAACTCTCGTAAGCACCGCAGGCCTCGCAAGTCTGGCGGGTCTCGCAGGCCCAACACATCCCGTAGGTCCACAAGCCCCACAGGTCTCGCAGGTTCCATGAATTCTACAGGTCCCACATGTCCCACGACTTCCACAGGTCCAACTGGCACCTCAAGTCTCGCACGTCTCATTCATTTGTCCTGCACTTCCCACAGGGCAAGCAGGCCCCACACAGTTCCAACAGGTTTCGCAGGCCCCGCAGCTCAAAGGTCCCACAGGTCCAACAAGTACGACAGGTCCGACGTGTCCCACAGGTGCCGAAGGTCCCACGGGTCTCGCAGGTCTTGCAGGTCCCATAGGTCGAACAGGTCCCATAGGTCTCACAGGTTTCTCAGGTCCCACAGGTCCCACAGGTCCCACAAATCCCACAGGACCCACAGGTTTTGCGATCGCGCAGTTCCCGCAGGTACCACAGGTCGAGAACCCGCAGGTCCCACCCTGGGGGGCCGTCTCCGTCCTCACCCCTCCCTTCCCCCCGCCCGCTCGTCCGGTTGAAACCCTCGTCCGTCTGTATGTTCCTCCTCGCCTTTGTGTCCATTTCTTTGTTTTCCTCCTCCTCCTCTTCCTCCTCCCTGTTCGTCTGCGCTGTCCACGTCCCCCTTTCTCCCTCCACCATTTGTCCTCTCCCCCCGTATCAGTTTTAACTGCAATTTTAACCCTTTCCCTCCCCTTCTCCCCCCCCCTCGGTTCCCTTCTCTGGTATGCCCCGTCTCTTCATCCTTCCGTCTCCTCTATAGATCCCAGTCCTTCCCTCTCCATGTCCAGCCCACCCTTCCGAGGCCTCAGCACTAGCCTCTCCAATCCAAGCACGACGCAGCTCGATTGCGCGCTCTGTCTCGCCACGAGTCTAGTCGTTTGCGCGTACCGCCTGCCGCCTTTTGCCGCCGCCGCTTGCGTGCGGTTTGCGAACGTGTGGTGGTCGCAGCTAAGATGTCTAAATCAAGTGCGCTTGACGAGCGCGTGTACAAAAGGGGCCCGCGCGCGCGTGGCTTGGGTTGGATTTTAGTCCAGCGGGCGTAGCCATGTTCTGTGTTGGCCCAACTCGGCTGCCGGAACATCAGCAACCAGCCCTTGTCAAAATCAAGCAACACACATAACAAGATTCTGGATATCCCACCAGAGGATCACGTGATCGGCCCATTAATCATCGGATTGACATTTTGGGCCAAACTCGACGTTAATATGCACCGATCAGTGTGAGAGCGGGGGCGACCCGCAGGACGACGCCGACGCTGAGACCGTGCATCCCATGTGAGCTGAGATTGAGGCACCGAGCAGGAGCGCGGCTGTCGCCACTGTCGAGGCAACTGCGCCGAGCGGGAGCGCGGCTCAGGCCGGCGCCGAGGCCGAAGGCCAGGTCCTGTTTGGTCGAGGGTCAGGGTCTGGCGCGCGGGCCTCCCGGACGGTGCGCCGACCGGGAGCGTGGCTCTTGGCGCGGCTGGGAGTCCCTCGCCGCCCCCTGGCAGGAAGGGAGCCGTTGAGGAGCGCCACTCCACCGGGCGCACCGTGCGACCGAGAGGCCTTCTCTTTCGACTCTGGGCAGTGGCCAGCGCACACGGCCAAGGCGTGATCTTCACCCGCCGGCAGAAGCGGGCGCCTCGACCATGAGACGGTTGTGGGTGACTGAGGAGTGTTGCGTGTTCGGGCAATTGTGCTGCCCGCTGGCCGAAAGCCGCTGCCATGTGAGAGGTGGTGGTTGCCGGCGGCATGCATGCAACAATTGTTCGCGTCGTTGTAACAGGTTCAACCTCAATTACCTTTGCTCGGACTGTTCCACAAGAGAGGCGCAATAATTCTTGGCGTGTTGGGTATCCCTACCAGCCCATTCAAAAACAAACAGGCGATTTGCCCTGATCAAGGATGTATAGCAGCCAGACCGTGGAGCCCTTGGGGCCATTTGGAGGCCTTTGGGGCTCTCTTTGGGCTCTCTTCAGGCCCTCTTGAGGCCAGTTTTGGGGTCATTGATCAAAAAAGGGAGGATAACCAATTACTGTTCCTTTCTCGGAGACTGAACCATTTTCTTTGGGGGCGTTCTTGGGGCGTTCTTGCTCGCTAGTGGGGTCATCTTGGGCCCCATCCTGAGGCTCTCTTGGATTATCTTGGAGCCATTTTGATGCCTCAATGGCCCGTTTGCGGACGCGAACAGGCGAGAAAACATAATAGTTTCCCGAGGTTAAGTGATATTGCTTGTCTGTCGGGGGGGTCCTTGGGAGTTTCCGTGGCCACTTGGAGTCGTCTTGGGACGGTCATGGTGCCTCTTGGAGGCATGATGCATGTTGGAAGCTATCTTGAGCCATCTTGGGCCAGACAGCGCGATCTTGGAGGTCATCTTGGGCTACCTGGGGCCCCCTTGGGCCCATCGTCGTGGGCAATCCAGGACGCTCCAACGACCCGAGACGGGGCCGTCCAGACCCAGGGCGAGGGGGTATGGGGGAGAGGTAAACTTGTCTCTCCCCCAGGGAACGAGGAGGTTGGAAGAACCAACTCCCCGAACCTCCTGCGCCCACAGGGCTGCTGGGACTGCGCCCTGACAGGGGCCGAGTGGAAGACGGCCGGGCGTCCCTGCGGGAGGCCCCGCAAGAGGGACCCGCGGGCCAGGGAGAGGGAGCTGAAGCGTGCCCGGCGCCTGCAGAAAGCGGGGCCTGGACGGCGGAGCGGCGCGCACGAGCGAGTTCGCGGCTGTGGCCGCGATGGAGGTCGGGGGCACTTCTGACGACGGGGGTGGCGAGGGCGAGCTCCTGGACACCCGCCCGCGTCCGAGGCCAGGATCCCAGTTGCCTCTCCCCTGCCCGCTCGCCCTGGGACCTGGACCCCCCCCCCCTCCACCCTACTACCCTGCAGCCCCTCCTCCTCCTCCCGCCTCCGCCGCCGCCTCACCCCGTTCCCCTGCCCCCCCTTCTCCCTTCTCCATCCCTCCTCCACGGCCAGAGCTCCAAGAGAGCCTCCATGCCCCCTCATGCCTCCTCCAAGTGATTGTTTTGGATGGGCTCGTGGGGGTACATGAGCCGTCTGGAATTGCTACCCGTCCGCCGCCTGTCGACGAACAGAAAACTGCATGGACATAAATGTTCTGGACGTCCGCGCGGATTATTTGGATCGGCGCTTAGCCGCCAGGGATGTTCCAGCGATGACCTTAGAAATCCGCGCGGATCTCCGAAAGTTTGTGCGTATGAGCTTGTGCTGTTTCTGAACGAAAAAACCAATGTGACTGTGCCAGGGCCCCAGGATGCAGTGAATGTGAGTATCGTTTGCACCTCCCACGGGGCCCAAGAAGATCCGTGTCCTCTGCCTCCTGGGGTCTCGGGGCATCGGTCTTCCAGGTGGCAGACATGTGCAACTTCCGGGGGTTTCCGCTGTCCCGGCCACTGTCGTCAGACCAACTAGCGAGCGCGCGTCTCTCGGCCTCGTTGAACAAAATCAATTGCTGCGCAGGGCGAAGGCCTTCGACTGTACACCTGCACCGATTTTGGCCAGGCCGATCCTGAGTCTTGGGTTCAGGATTGGTGTGCACTTATCCCTGGACAAGCGAGGAGGGAGTATACATCGATCCTGGCCCAGGATGGGCCTGACCAGGATCGGTGTGGTTGTATAGCTTGTGTCCTCCTACCAATCCTAGCGGGGTGGATGATAACCCGCTTCCCACAGTCCAAGGAATGGGGCCTTCCACAGAGAAGTTCGGTC